CACATGGTCCAATCTTCTTCAGCCACGCTGGCATTTCACCCATCTAGTTCCGGTCAGATGCAGAGGTGCGGAGAAAAAAAATGACCTTGATTTCTAGAAAGGAATTACAACAACACATTCCACAATTCTACTCCTTTCTAGTCCCCCTCCCAATTACTACACTAATGAAACAGCATAGAAAAATAATAGTGTGTGTGGCAAACAAAAAATCCTAAAAAGAATATAACTGCAGGCCTGACAGGTGGCCTCTGCTCAGAAGAAAAATGTTTTCTGAAAAGAGAATAACATAAAAGTTAACATAACAAAATTAACCACCTCTCCCCACCCCCAGGGGGACCCTTTGGCTTAACCGAAAACTTCTCGTAGAATTGTTTTACTAACTTCTCCACTTTTAAGTTCCAGCTTTTCACCCAAGTAGCTTCAGAAAAAGGGTAATCCTTCCAATGCACTAAATACTGTAAGCAACCCCTATACAGCCTGGAGTCTAAAAAATTTTCCACCTCAGATTGTGTTTCCCCTTCTATTACTACAGGAGGAGGGAAAGCTTGGGTGGATGGTCTTATGCTGGACTAATTACTGGTTTCAACAAGCTACAATGAAATTCTGTGTCAATTTTCCCTAAACTTCTGGGTAGGCTGAGTTGAATTATAACTGGGTTAACTATCTTCACTATTGGGAATGGACCTAGACATTTTGACCAAATTTCTGGCTAGGCATTCTTAATCTCATGTACTTGGTAGACACAAAAACTTTGTCACCCACACGAAAGGGGTTTTGAAGCGAGCAGTGTTTATCAGCTTGCTTCTTCTAGGCTTCTGCCGCATCTGCTAGAGCCTTCTTCGTACTTTCCCATTCTTTTTTTTAGGGTGTCCATCCATTCATTCAGAGACATGGAGGAGGGAGGTTCTCTAGGCAACTCAAGCATGGCAACAAATTCCATGCCACTGGTAATCTGGAAAGGAGTTAATTCAGTGCTGCGGTGAACTGTATCGTTGTACGCCACTTCGGCAAAGCATAGCAAGTCGGACCAGTTGTCTTGCTGATAGTCCACATAACTCCGGATGTATTGCTCCACCACCTTATTGGCTCTCTCTGCTGCACAGTTCATGCTGGGCTGAACCTCTGAGCTCAGTTGTTGTGTTGACCCAATGGACCTCAGAACCTCTTCCAGAACTTGGCTGTGAACTGGACTCTGCAGTCTGAAATGATCCTCTTGAGCAAACCGTGCAGGCAATAAATGTGTTTCACAAACATTTTCGCTAATTTCTTTGCAGACAGCAGCCCTGAGCAAGCTATGAAGTGCCCTTGCTTGGAAACCAAATCAATAACTGTCCAGATTATTCTATTTCCACTGCTGTCTGGGAGTTCCACAATGAAGTCCATTGTGACCTCTTCCCATGGTCAGTTAGGGCTGGCCACTCATTGTAGTAGTCCAGGGGACTTCTCTGGCAGTGGTTTCATAATTGTGCAAGTAGCACAGCTTTTTACGTAATCTTCCACCTCTGTTTTTCATCTTTTCAGCGGTAGGATTAAGCCCTGCCCCTCGACTTACTGCTACTCTTACCCGCTTACTTTAGGATCATTGCGATCCCCACCCTGACACCCTGAGGAAATAATGTTTTAAAAAGCTCCCATCGGCTAGCCTTTTCTTTTTGGCTAAACTCCTCTAAGTGCACTCCAACCATTTCCACTTGACTGCATTTTCTTTCACTCTTGGTTCCCTTCTGAGAAGGCAGAGAAGAATGTGAGTCAAGTATGTATATGTTATGCTGACGCTTGCCTCAGGATGCCATGTGGCGTGTTGTGCCGTTACCAGAGTTCACACCAGGGATCAATCCAGGGCCCACTGAAAATGGTGGCTGCGTCCAGGACAAAGTCATGAGGCCCAAAGATATTTCCCCAATATGGCGAACCTATGGGACACATGACACAGGGGGCATGCTGAGCCATTTGTTAAAGCACGCAAGGCATTGCCTTGTCAGCTCCAGCGCACATCCGTGGACTGGCCAGCTGACTTTAGCCTTCTTTTAAGGCTGTTTTGTTGAAGTCTCTGGAGCACCAAAAACCGGCCCTACAGGAAAACCGGAAGTTCAGGAACTGACTTCTGGTTTGCTTGTAGGGCCGTTTTTCGCCCTCAAGAACCTTCAGGAAGCTTCCCTGAAGGATCCGGAGGGAGAAAAGCAGCCCTACGACCAAACTGTACATCACAGTTCCTGAACTTCCCGGGTTCCCCTTAGGACTGTTTATGTCCTCTGGAGGCTTCAGGAAACCTCCTGAAGCCTCCGAAGGGCTTCCAGGGAGGATGGGAGGCTGTTTTTGCCTTCCCAAACCTCCTAGAAAACCTCTGGAGCCTCAGAGGGCAAAAAACGGACATCAAAAGCAGAGGGAGAACGCTGGTCATGGACGCATGCACTCTGGTGATGGGCGCATAGCATTATGGGTGTGGGCATGCCTGCGCACGACCCCCTTGCACTCCCCCTGGTTTTGGCACATGATCCAAAAACCATTAGCCATCACTGATATATATTCTTACCTTCCCACCCTGGGGGAGGGGGTGAAGGACCAAGGGGACTCAAGGGTTAGGAAACAAAGGAAAGGGATGTCTTGGAGGGTGGGGAAGGACTAGAGATGCCTAAGGAAGGCAGCCCTAGCCCTGCACTAGGCCTCCGAGGAATTTTTTTCTAGCTCTGAGTAGAAAGTGTTCTACTTAGCAACTCGCACATTTGATTAATGGCTGCATCATGGAGACCAGGCGGATTTGGGTAGTTAAGGAAAGTAATTTCACTTAACAGCCATTGGAACCTGCAACCTTAATTCAATGCCCATCATAGTTACATCTTAAAGACTACTTTTCTGTGGGCTGTGTAATTCTGGGGCTGAAAATTGGGCAAAACCAAGGTAGAAGACTGAAACTCCACATGTGGGAATTCCATAATCAACAGAAAAAAACTCCACCCAAAATTCCTTATTGAGGAATTCCTCTATTTCTGGAAAAGGAAATATTCAGAAGCTTTCCTGATAAACAGAAATTACTAGTTAGCCAATTTCCATTTTCCTTTTCACTCCACTTACCAATTTAATCGTGAGCAATTTTTGAGCAAAATAAATCAGGCCAAAATTAAAACTATCAATTTCTCACCTACACTTTCAAGGGAGATCACAAATGAAATTCAAGCATTCTCTAAACTCATCTACCTTTATGCTCGAAGTAATGAGTACAGACTGGACAATTCAAAGATTTCTCCATGGTGTCAGTCCCCTGGTTTATCATTAGGTAGGAATTCTGACTGAAACCTCTCCCACAATCAGGACATTCAAAGGCTCTCTCCTCTATGAGTCCTCTGGTGTTTCACCAGTTTGATAATATTCCTAAAGCTTTTCCCACATTCAGGACATTCAAAGGGTTACTCTCCTGTATAAGTCGTCTGGTGTCTCACTAGATTGGAATTCTGACTGAAACTTTTCCCACATTCAGGACATTCAAAGGGTTACTCTCCTCTGTGAGTCCTCTGGTGTGTCACCAGATGGGAATTAGTACTAAAGCTTTCCCCACAGATAGGACATTCAAAGGGTTTCTCTCCGGTGTGAGTCCTCTGGTGTATCACTAGGTAGGAACTCTGACTGAGACGTTTCCCACAATCAGGACATTCAAAGGGTTTCTCTCCGGTGTGAGTCCTCTGGTGTGTCACCAAAAAGGAATTATGACTGAAACTTTTCCCACAATCAGAACATTCAAAGGATTTCATTCCTCTGTGAGTCCTCAGGTGTGTCACCAGATGGGAATTAGTACTAAAGCTTTTCCCACAGATAGGACATTCAAAGGGTTTCTCTCCGGTGTGAGTCCTCTGGTGTGCCACCAGGTTGGAATTCTGACTGAAACTTTTCCCACAATCAGAACATTCAAAAGGTTTCTCTCCTGTGTGAGTCCTCTGGTGTCTCACCAGTTTGCAATAATCATTGAAACTTTTCCCACAATCAGAACATTCAAAGGGTTTCTCTCCTGTGTGAGTCCTCTGGTGTATACCCAGGAGGTAATTCTGTCTGAAACGTTTCCCACAATCAGGACATTCAAAGGGTTTCTCTCCTGTGTGAATCCTCTGGTGTGTCACCAGATTGGAATTAGTGCTAAAGCTTTTCCCACAGATAGGACATTCAAAGGGTTTCTCTCTGGTGTGAGTCCTCTGGTGTACCACCAGGGAGTAATTCCATCTGAAACGTTTCCCACAATCAGAACATTCAAAGGGTTTCTCTCCTGTGTGAGTCAACTGGTGTCCCACCAGGCAGAAATTCCGACTGAAACGTTTCCCACAATCAGGACATTCAAATGGTTTTGCTCCTGTGTGAGTCCTCTGGTGTACCACCAGGGAGGAATTCTGACTGAAACTTTTCCCACAATCAGAACATTCAAAGGGTTTCGCTCCTGTGTGAGTCAACTGGTGTATCACCAGGTAGGAATTCTGACTAAAACGTTTCCCACAATCAGGACATTCAAAGGGTTTCTCTCCTGTGTGAGTCCTCTGGTGTGTCACCAGATGGGAATAATCACCAAAGCTTTTCCCACATAGAGGACATTCAAAGGGTTTCTCTCCTGTGTGAGTCCTCTGATGTCTCACCAGATAGGAATTATTAATAAAGCATTTCCCACAGATAGGACATTGAAAGTGTTTCTCTCCTGTGTGAGTCATCTGATGTGACACCAGGTGGGAATTCCGACTGAAACTTTTCCCACAGACAGGACATTCAAAGGGTTTCTCTCCTGTGTGAGTTCTCTGGTGTAGCACCAGGTGGGAATTCCGACTGAAACTTTTTCCACAGTCAGAACATTCAAAGGGTTTCTCTCCTGTGTGAGTCCTCTGGTGTCTCACCAGGTGGGAATTCCGACCAAAACTTTTCTCACAATCTACACACTTATAAGGTTTCTCCATGGAGTGAATCCTCTGATGTATTTCCAGGCGGGAATTATGACTGAAACTTCTCCCACAGTCAGGACATTGAATGGGTTTTTCTCATTTATGATTCCTCTGGTGTATCACCAAGATGGAATTATAACTGAAAGTTTTCCAACAATCAGGACATTGAAAGCATTTATCTCCTATTTGAGTCTTCCGGTGTATCACCAGGCTGGAACTGTAACTTTCCCATAATCAGGACATTCAAAGAGCTTTTCTTCTGTGTCAGTTCTCTGGTGTCTCTTGAGATGGAAATTTCTACTGAAGTTTTTTTCACAATCTAGACAACCATACAGTTCCTCCCTGGAGTCAATCTACTGATGCATCACCAGACTGAAATTGTGACTAAATTTTTTTCCACAATCAGGACATTCAAATGCTTTCAATGTCCTGATTGTTGGAAAACTTTCAGTTATAATTCCATCTTGGTGATACACCAGAGGAATCATAAATGAGAAAAACCCATTCAATGTCCTGACTGTGGGATAAGTTTCAGTCATAATTCCCGCCTGGTAATACATCAGAAGACTCAAATAGGAGATAAATGCTTTCAATGTCCTGATTGTTGGAAAACTTTCATTTATAATTCCATCTTGGTGATACACCAGAGGAATCATAAATGAGAAAAACCCATTCAATGTCCTGACTGGGAGATAAGTTTCAGTCATAATTCCCGCCTGGTAATACATCAGAGGATTCACTCCATGGAGAAACCTTATAAGTGTGTAGATTGTGGGAAATGTTTCGGTCGGAATTCCCACCTGGTGAGACACCAGAGAACTGACACAGAAGAAAAGCTCTTTGAATGTCCTGATTGTTGGAAAACTTTCATTTATAATTCCATCTTGGTGATACACCAGAGGAATCATAAATGAGAAAAACCCATTCAATGTCCTGACTGGGAGACGTTTCAGTCGTAATTTCCACCTGGTAATACAT